CTAAAATTAGAAATGCCTGCTCTGAATTCTTTTCTCACACATCAGTAAAAGCACTGCTGAGGCTGTTGTGTGTTTAGATGAGATCGTCTCTAGCTCAAATGAGGAGAAAGGTTTGTTTCGAATTGCAAACTGCCCCACTGACTATGTTGTCTAGGGCTGATAGGGTAGTATTTAAACATCTGTAGGGCTAGACACTGCTGATTTATCATATCTTGCAGGTTCATAATACTTATAATCGGAGTGTTGGACTAGGACTTTCTGAAGATCAAATCACTTATCAGCCACAGAACGCCAGTGGGTGATCTTGGGCAAACTTCCTCTGAATGTTTTCTCAACTTCAGAGGAAAATAAGGGCAACACTACTGTGAACCAGTCTTTCCAAGAAAATCCATGATTGGGTTGCGGTGAGTTTTCTGGGCTGTATGGCCATGTTACAGAAGCATTCTCTCCTGAAGTTTTGTACACATCTATGGCAGGCATCCTCAGAGGTTGTAAGACCTCACAACCTCTGAGGATGCCTGCCATAGATGTGGGCAAAACATCAAGAGAGAATACTTCTGGAGCATGGCCATACAGCCTGGAAAATTCACAGCTACCCAGTGAAAGCCTTTGACAAGACATTAAATCCATGACTGGATTATTTTAGAGTCATCATAAGTCAGAAATGACCTGAAGGCACACAGCAGGACCCTGATTGGCACCAGATCCAGATTCAAATCTCAAGGGTTGAGCTATCTGGCAAGCAAAAAAATTCAAGTAAGCTATGTCCGGACCACTGTAGAGAGTCTAAAGAAGCCATCTGTTTAAACAGGAGATAAATTGTTCCCATCGTCTTTGGGAAAAAAAATTGGGGAGAAGCAGTAGCAAGGAATAAACGGATCACTGTCTGTTCAACCGAAGGTACACTTACAGAAGTTGCTTGTTCGTGTGTGTATGTAGAGAGAGATTAAAGATGCTAATGACTAGTTGCTTGGAAATGTTGGGTAAAGCTTTGCTCCTGTCTGCACAGAGTAGGCTGCAAGGAGGAGAGAGTCAACATGACCTGAAAATCCCTAGTCAGGAAGAGATGGGATAATACTCACTTAAATGAGCATGGATAAAATAAAGGTTGCAAGCATAGCGCCCAGGGAACCTTATCGTGGTTTCAAATCTTTTGGAGATCCAAAAAATACTTTAATATGATGGTCTAGTTCGATCTATAGGCTCTCAGGAGAATCTAACATCAATCTACCAAATTCACTTTCCAAATCTGCATGACTACAACTCTTGTTGGCATGGTTAGAAATTTCAAACTCACAATCATGGAATCATAGAGCTAGGAGAGAGAAACCGCTTTGAGTCCCACTTGGGGTGAGAAAAGCGGTATACAAATACTGTAAATAAATAAATAAGGGCCAGAGGAGACTCCACGTTCCGAGGCAGCATATTTCACTGCCGATGAAGAACCCTTACCATCAGGAAGTTCTTCCTGATGTTTACATGGATATTTTTTTCCTGCAATTTGAATATTTTGCTGCATATCCTTGTCTCCAGAGCAGCAGAAAACAAGCTTTCCCCTCCACAATGTGACATTCTTTCTAATATTTAAACATGGCTATCATGCCCTCTCTCAACCTTCTTTTCCCCAAGCTAAACATACTCAGCTCCCTGAACCGCTTCTCATAGAGCTTGGTTTCCAAACCTTTAGTCATTTGGTCACCCTTTTCAGGACATATTCCAAATAGTCAGTCTCCTTTCTGAAATGGAGTGCCGAGAACTGGACACAGTATTCCAGGTAAGGTCTGACCAAAGCAGAATAGAATGGGATTATGACTTCCTTCGATCACAGCACTATATTTGTATTGTGGTAAACTAGAATGACAATGCTCAATGTCTCTCTCTGCCAAGCCCCTTTCCAGGTGTCTTCAGACAAGCTTCATTGGGCTCCAAGGTTGCACAGTGTGGTTATCTTAAAATCCTAATCCCTTTCATGTCCATATCATAAGTATTTCAGTGTGCCTCTCAATACCAATTGACAGACTATGAACCCAGGATGGTTCCTTTGCACTCAGGATCTATTTGTGGGCTTCAGGTTGGACTATTAGAAAGGTCTTGAGTCTAACCGAGAATGGCTCCTCTTATGTCCTTATGAGCGCTTTCAAGCATTTTTTTGAGAAACATCAAGTATCTGGAAAAGAACTCAATGGGCTACTGCCCCCTACCAGCTGTAGTAGATATTATCTGTGTACCTGAAGGAAGCTCAGTGTTAAAGTTGATTTTATTTTACAAATTGGAAATTTTTGAGCAAATAACTTTTTTTAAAAAAAAGTTTTCAACTTTTGAATGGATACATAACTACAGCATATGTGGCTGCAACTAAGAGACAGAGGTTTCCTCTATAGTTCATTTTCACCTTGATCCAATCGTTTCTTTCTTTCTACAGCCAGCTAAGCAGTGGTTCTCCAACCTGTGGATCCCCAGATGTTTTTGGCCTTCAACTCCCAGAAATCCTAAGATTTGGTAAACTAGCTGGGATTTCTGAGAGTTGTAGCCAAAACCCCTGGGGACCCACAGGTTGAGAACCACTGAGCTAGAGGAGCATTTCCATGGATTGCAGCCAGAAATGTCCATCTGAATGAGTACTGGGGAAACTGTACTACAGGTCACAAAGCAAGGAACAGTAAAGGAAATATGTGAAATGGCTCCATTTCAGCCCTGTGATTTTGACTATGTATAGTTGAGTTCCCAGTGGCACAGCGGGTTAAACCACTAAGCTGCTGAACTTGCTGACTGAAAGGTCAGTGGTTCAAATCTGGGGAGCGCGGTGAGCTCCTGCTGTTAGGCCCAGCTTCTGCCAACCTAGCAGTTCGAAAACATGTAAATGTGAGTAGATCAATAGGTACCACTACGGTGGGAAGGTAATGGCACTCCTTGCAGTCATGCTTGCCACATGACCTTGGAGGAGTCTATGGACAATGCTGGCTCTTCAGCTTAGAAATGGAGATGAGCACCACCACCCCAGATTCAGACACAACTGGAGTTAAGGTCAGGGGAAAACCTTTACCTTTACTAGTTGTACCCTTGGATTTCAGTAAACAAAAAAGATGTGTGAGAAGATAACATCGTATATCAGAATCAATCTTTTAACATTTTTAATAGCTGGGTTTATTCAATAACACATTACAAAAAATAATACAGATTTCAGGATTTTTTCAAATCATTACTTGCAGAAAAACATAGAAAAAAGGTGAACAAAGAGACTGGTATAAAAAAACCCAATAGATCAAAAAAGGTACAAACTTGTTTAGGAAGAGCATGTTTCAGGAAGGGTATGCAATGGGAGATTTTTACAAAACTATTGTTTACAATTACAGAATATATATATATAAACTGTTCCCTATTTGATGGCAAAAATACAAGGACTCTTTAATTATTCAACATTAAAAGAAAGGTACCTTCGGAAGCATGTTTATCATATGAACTTGGTAACAGTCCAAAGTCTTTCAGATCTAAATTCTGATTGCATCCCACTTTTCTTGACTGATAGCCTAGGGATTACCAAAGTAGCTACCGTGCAATATCCATCCAATATAGGCAGTTGTGGTGGGCTCCCACTGAAACCAATTATAGGGTTGTGGAGAAGGCCCAGAAGTCACGAGCAGACCTAGTTTACAGCTCAATGCTCCAGTTTGAGGGATATATATCTCAATTAAAAGTAGATGTTACAATAGGAGACATTCCACTGGGGGACCTAATTCTTCAGTCTCACCCCAATATCAAATATTATGTTAATGAGTAATCAGAGTCTAAGAAGCTTTTTACTCCATAAACCTTTTAGCTTTCAGTAAATATAAAGACGTTGCTGGTATTTTCTCTTCTATTTGTTTCATGTATCAACTGAATAGCTCTATAGCAGCGGTTCTCAACCTGTGAGTCATCAGGTTTTTTGGCCTACAACTACCAATCCCAGCCAGTTTACCAGCTGTTAGAATTTCTGGGAGTTGAAGGTCAAAACATCTGGGGACACACAGGTTGAGAACCACTGCTCTATAGTAAGATTTCCCAATCCATAGAACTCCAAAGAGGTCTGATCATGTTGACTGAGGCTGAAGCCTAAACTTTTTGGATCATTAAATTACAGAAGGCTTTGCTATCTTGTTTTCTTCTTGCGTCAACATACACATCTGGTAAAACACAGAATTTGAAACATCCTTTATCCCAACATTTATGGCTATTTATCATAGAAACAAAGGGGCTGCATTGTGAAAGAAAATGAGGTCAGACTTTCGATTCTGCAGTAAGAGTCAAAGTGGAACACACAAAAGAGCTGCAAAACCCAACATGTTTGTTCACCGTTGCATCATTTAGAAAGACTTATAAATATATATATGTGTGTGTGTAGTATAAAAACAATTTACCAACAATTCAAAAAAAGAGCTTTAAATTCTACAAAGAGCTAAATGAGCAAAAATTGCTCCATCCTGTCAGATGAGCATCCATTTAAATGTATAGCTGCCCTGTTTGCTTACAAATCCTGTTTTCTATCACGTATGCAACAGAAAATTATTTTCTAATTTCTCCTTAAATGTAAGGATTACTTAAATTCTGGCAAAAGAATACTGGGGGGGGGGGGGTTTGCTGGTTTTTATAGAGTGCCCCCAGTTCTTTGGACATACGAAACTGGGCCTCAAAGTACCCTGCATCCTGTTCCTCCATTTCTGCATCAGGATCCATACACAGAATGTACACAGAGAAGAGGAAATTATGGAAGAGAAACCCAAAAGAACTTGACGCAGGAGGACTGTGTGGTCGAATGCCTCATCTTTCCAGTGCAGAGCTGGAGAACATCTAGCCCTTCATAGGCAGTTCAATTATTAGCTATTGAGGGTTGTCCAAACATCTGGAGAGATACACATTCTCCATCCCTGCTCCACTGGATAAGCACCTGCTCCTGAATGTATAGTCAAGAGAAAGGTAATGACAGATTCACTGAGGGAAACTCATGCTTAATGTTCAAAAGACCTTTGAACATGGATTGAACCAATATTGTTCATCTTTATTCACCCCCTCCTGCTAGGGTACTGAAAAGAAGATTGCAACCATGGAGTAAAATTCACAAGCTGCTTCTCACACATGAGTAACTCTCCCATTTAGCAAGGTGATAATGGAGAGCAATATGTATTATTACTGCTGGGTTATCTGCATCAAGATGTAGAAATAAACACATATACATGTGGCAAATGTGGTCCAGCTGGATTTACCCAAATAGGTATACATGTTTTACTTCTATACTTGACACATTAGTTGAGGAAGACTATCTACAGCAATTGTATTGCGCTACATCTGAGTTCTGATGTTATTATTTTTATTTTATTTTATTGTCAAGAGCATGACATACATGGCATATTTTGCATTTACCCCCTCCATCTACAGTCAAATCTTGGCAGATATCAAGCTGTTAGCCCATTTCAGCATTTTGAAAAAGGGGGATTTTTAAGTGGAATTTATCTAAAATAAAAACTGCACTACTTAGTGCTTCTACAAGTCACAGTAAAAAAGGGGGAGTGTTCAAAATACCCCCCCCCCTCTCAAAAAAGGAAGTGTGCTTTGGAAAAGTTGCACAGCACACTACTCCATAAAATAGATTAACTCCAAAAAGTCACATAACGCGAAGTACAGGTTCTTGTAAGCTTCAGTGGGAAACCCATGCAGTCCACAACGGAGATGGCGGAGAATGGCCAAGGCCTGACTCGCAGTCTCTGGAGGGTCTGACGCTCAGCATGACATCACAGCAGTTTCCGATGGAGGATCTCCCAGACCATCCGTTTTCGGAAATAAGGCATGTGTTGCTTTAAAGACAAGAGAAAGACACAGATATCAATGTTCCTACAAATACATAAAGCCATAGTTAATTTCCAAGGCCTTTGTGCTCTATGACAAAGTCAGGATCAGCTGTGTTGTTGAAGGCTTTCATGGCCGGAATTACTAGGTTGCTGTGAATTTTCTGGGCTGTATGGCCATGTTTCAGAAGCATTCTCTCTTGACGTTTCACCTACCCCTGAGAATGTCTGCCATAGATGTGGGCAAAGTGTCAGGAGAGAATGCTTCTTGAACATGGCCATACAGCCCAGAAAACTCACAGCAACTCAAGATCAGCTGTTTCATGGAAGGAGAAAACTACTAGGGGAATATAGAATCTACAATAATGAGTAAGGTTCACAACCTTCCTTTTTAAAACCTTAGAACAAAAGATTTTGGAGACCCTAAAAACTACTTCCATACGAAATACTTCTGATTTGGAAGAAGCGGCAGGTAAAATTTATTTCCATAATCACCTCATCTTTCTGTTCTATCCCTGGTCTTGGGATAATGGCAATGTTTCACATTTTAATGCATAAAAGCAAACAGGTTTTCTTTATGATGAAAGAATTATTTATAGAAGTTACACAAAAAAATTGGAACACATTTCCCACTATCAAAAACAGTGAAAGTAATCTGGATCCTCCAATGCACGAATAATCCATATGCTAAATAATTAAGACCCTGAAAACATAATACTCCAAAAAAAAATCTGAACTCTTTTAACAGTTTTAAAGCAATTACTGGAATGATTTGTATTCTAATAAGTACTAGTTTTACAGCACAAATAAGAGAAAAACTACATTCTGGTTTTATAGATAGGACTTTACCATGATTACCTCTCTAGTAATATACAAAATTCTCTAGATGGCTAGAGAGAATACTTGTTTGTGTGGTGAGAATGTGGCTGAATCTGTATGTTATAGAAAGGGGGTGTGTGAAAATGTACTGAGATAACAGAAAACAGAAGTATCGGTGGCTGCATCTTTGCCTGTAACCATTTACAGTGGCCATAGTGAACAAACCTCATCAACAAATCCGGGTTTTCCAGGATTTCCTGGAAATAAAGGGGCCATTACTGGACATAAGGAGGGCATATGTGTAAAATAAAAACTGAATAGGCAGATAAGACCACTGGAAGAATCAGACAGGTTATTTGGAAACTGTTTTTGACACTGTGACTAAACAGAGAATCCCACATGGAGGGTAAGATTAAAAAGAAAAGGTTTAGATATATATTGGGCTTCAACTGCCTACTTATAGCCTAAGATCTTGCAATCCAAATCCAAAATGCTCAACTTAGTTTCCCTCCAATGGAGGCAATGCTTTCAAACAATGCACAAAATCACACATAGAGATAAATGGAATCATCAGCACCAGTTCTGCAAAGCACGAAGTTGTGGGCGGTAAAATAAGAAATACGCCATAAATTGATAATCAGAAATTCTGAGCTAACAGATGAAGGCAGTTTCAGTATATTGTGACAGACATGTATGCAAGAGGCCACTGGAAAAATATACAGAAGTCAACAAAGAAATTTAACGTAGCCTTTCTGCTATAAAATTAGGTGCTGGACTTCAGAATATCATGTACCCAGAAATACATTATTTGTAGAAGTATCAGTGTTTTGCTCATTAGTACCATGGCTCTATCCAAGTATTAAAACTTAAAGATTTTGTACTGAGACATTTTTAATCCCCTAAGTAATTATGCACATTTATCTGGACTCTATTCCTCCAACAAATGTGTGTTTAGCTTGCTTTTTACACAATCCTAATTAAGACTAGAATCCACGATTGTGCTCATACAGCCTGGTAGTGACATTATAGCACACTCTCATCTGAAGGATAAACTTACCTGAGTAAAATTAATTGGTTTGTCTTTGGAAATGCAGTCAGCATATTTACAGGCAAACATCCCACAGTCACTGCCATTCATCTGCTGAGGAATCTCCTTTAAAAGATAAACCCACCCCTATTTATTTACATAATAAGAAACTTTTATAACATTTTAGGCTAGCAAAAGATTCAAGAAATTTAAAGAATTACTTTTTTTAGGAGGACCATAAGGAATGGGAACAAACAAAGAGGCATTATTTCAGCAGTGATTGAGGCAAATATATAAAGATCAGGAACATGCCACCTTCACTAACAAAGAAAAATGGAGCTGTTACTATAACAACTGCTATAGATTTCTGAAATTAAAAAGTGCTTCCTTCTCTCCATCTTGGCAAAGACATAATTGCTGCCACTTGTCCTTCATTTTTAAATTTGGTAAAAGGGAAGGTTGTCTTCATTACCGTATTTACTCGAGCCTAATGCTCACTTTTTTAGGCTATATTACATTGCTAAAATTGAGGTGCGCATTAGATTCAATGGTGCATTAGAAGCGTGCAACTAAACCTGTCTGCACTGCTGGGCAAGAGATCCCGGTTGGAGACAGAGGAAGGAGAGGGAGTCTATTCAGGGACTTCCAGGTTGCCCATTCTTGGTTTGCCCCTGGAGGAAGACCCTTGCGGGGGACATCCATTTGGGATTTCCTGATTTAGCTACCCAGAGGGATACCCTTGCTGTTGCTGGAGGGACGCCAAGAAGAGTGGTAGTTCTCATAAAGCTTTCCCTTGATTTGAGTCTACTGGGAGGAGGCTAGTAGCCATGTAGTGGGTTGCTTTCACAGTGTTCAACCTCATTTCTCTCACATTTAGCAGCAATTTCCCATCGCACATCGGGGTGGGGGGTGGGGGGGGCAATGCCAGCTAGCTTGTAGAGTTTATCAACAGGTATAGGTTTAAGACACCCTGTGATTATTCTGCTTGTTTCATTCAATGCTATGTTCACCTGCTTTGCATGGGCAGACCTATGCCAAACAGGGCAGGCATACTCAGCAATTGAGTAAGACAAGGCTAGAGTTGATGTTCTTATTAATTTTGAGTCTGCACTCCATGTGCTGCCAGTAGGATGTATATGAAGATATTTGTTGACCCTTACTGAGGCCAAAAACACTTTTGCCCATTAATAATGAGGGAAGGAGGGAAGCAGGAGTGTCAGAAATTGCAAGGCTACAGACCACATCCTCCTCTAAGCGCACAGACACAGCTAGATGGTTCATATCATCTCTATGCCAAGAAGGTGCCTGCTCCGCAAATCTTTAAACCACATCCTTGTGAAAGGAAAGGTCAGAGCTGTGTGTATTAGCCAGTCCCCTCCATGGAGTCTTCCTCATTGGGGTGGAAAGCAATTAAAGGCAAAAGAGCCTGTCTACCAGGATCCTGGACACAGACCTACAACATTACTGTGGAATTGATGTAATAACTGCATTTCCAGATCCACTCAACAAGTCAGTAAACTAGTGGTTCTCAACCTTTGGTTCTCCAAGTGTTTTGGACTTCAGCACCCACAATTCTGGAAAGTTAAACTCCAAAACACCTGGCAATTGCAGTAAACCGAGATGATTTAGCCAGAGCACTAAAGACTTGTTCTGAATTAAGCAAAGTCAGGGCAAAATTATGTAGGTGGGACTGGTTCTCCCCATAAAAGTGATAAAGTTGATTCAGAAATAATATGCCCTGCCTTTGAAGCATGTGGGAGGTAAAAGACGCAGCCTGAAAGATTGCTCCTTACACTGCTGGAAAAGCTTTCATCTGGTTCTTCTAATAGCAGCTTAGAGCAATCAGGACTGGAGAATGTGACAATCAGGAGACTTGCATTCATCTCTCACTAGAGAAATATTGTTGGGGCAGCACATAGAAAACAGCAGTGTCATCTCTCTTTTTGCATAGAATACGACAAGGAGAGTGAACAGGAATTCTCCATCACATGGTGTGGTAAATCAGCTGCTACAGACCCCGATACACACAGAACCCAAAAAAGCACCTGTGCAAACCACATCTAGGTTTTTCTATTTATACATACAAATATCATCCTTATGTTATCTCACTGGCCTGAGAGAAAGCAAGTAAAACCAGCCCTTAGAGTAGAGTAAGGCATCTAGGACATGATTCACTGTATGAATGTTTTAAACATTTGTATGACCAGCCATATGCGGGTAACATACCTGCCTCCTTTTACTCAGCAGCATCCAACCATTTGTATCAAAATCTTTCCGCTTTTTATCCAGACTTTCCTGCTTCAAATACTGCCTGCAGAGGTTAGGAAAGAAGGACAGGGAAACATTTAGAAAGCAAGCAAGAAACAAAACAACTGTGAGAATTAAGCGGAATTTGAGAATTGTAACTCAACATTAAAACTTCCTGATTTCAAGCAACCCATCAATTTGACAGTTAAGTAACTTATTATCTTAAGTAGCTAACTCGTTGGCACTTCAGCTACATTTCCAATACACTCTCGGGGGTTCTTCATTCACAGTAGTATATTTAATTTTACCCCACACATTTCTTACTGTATTTGCTTTTAAGTAGGCAAAACCTACATCTCAAGCAGCAAAAAGCAAAAAAAAAAAAAAAAAATCTGCTGCAGTTAACTTCAACCCCCATCTACTGTAACATGGGGTCAAACAAAAATCAACAGGATGAACACCACAAGATAACAAGCACATCTATTTTAAATAATAAAATTTCACGTCTTCTGTTTTCAACTTGCTACTATCTTGCCAGTCTTGGAGTAACTCTTTCCTGCCACTTCACCGAAGAATTCCAGAGAGACCCAACTTGAATTGTAATTACCAAGATACAATATAATATAATATAATATAATATAATATAATATAATATAAATAATAATAAAACTGCGCTCTCTCCCTGAGGGGACTCAGGGCGGTTTACACACAACAAAGGCAAAAAATAATAATCATAAACTTGTCACAAAAGAAAAATTAACACCAAAATGAGGACCAAATACGAATAATCAAATAAACCTAATTATACTAATAACATACACTAACCATTTAGACATAAATCCTAGAAAAGGCCATTAAAATACATTAAAATTGCTATCAAGGTTGTTCTTCTCATATACCATAGCTACAGATAGGCTAGCCAGCATTCTGGTGGAACTGAAATGTTCTGATCCTTCTCCTCTTTGTATGCCAAAGTGCACAAGTGCATTTTCAAGGCCCTTTTAAAGGAGAGGAAGGTGTGTGCCATTTTTATTTCTTTGGGGAGGGAGTTCCAGAGATGGGGAGCAATCACAGAGAAGGCCCCCTCTCTCATTCCCACCAACTGCACTTGTTGCAGCGGAGGGCCTCCTCCGCTGACCGCAGTGCACGGGATAGTCTGTATAGGGAGATAGGGGTGCAGTAATAATGTCCTCAGCCTGTACCTCTCTTGGGTACCCATAGACAATTTAATTGCTTTCTTGACAGCCTGTTCTATGTGCTATTTGCACTGTACATTATATATATGGTAACTGGGTTGAATATATACAGTATTTTGCAGGGTTTTGTTTTCTTTATGCTTCCCCTTGTTGAACTATGTGGACAAAACTCCCCGCCCCTTCTTATTCCAAATGGACATAGCCAAACATTTTAATATGTTTTTTGACAATAAAAAAACTGATTTGAGGTAACATTATATTATATTGCCTTCCCAGTCATTCCTGTAACTTACTCTTTGCAACCTCCACATATGGAGTATTTCTAATCAGAACTGTCATAAGTGAAATGCCTATTTTCTCTTCTTCTAGTGTTCTTTCTCTTAAAACAATATACTAGTACATTCAATTATGGTATCGTATTACAAGTACGTATTTAATTGCTTTCTAGAACTATTCAACAAATCCTGTGTATGCCAAGGGCTCAATCTCTTGAGTAGCCATGCCATGTCATATAGGAAACCACTTCTGAATGAGAGAGAAGTATCAAAAGAAGCCTGTGATGTGGCACAGGAACCTTTCGTTCAAAAGAAAACATCCCACCAAATCTGAACAAGCTGCTTGGTAGCTCTTTGGGACTTGGTCAATGTTTCTACTTAGTAAAAGCAAGACGCTTGCTGAATGAATGTAAAAGAATGCTGGAGGAAAACAAATTTTATTTGATATTGACTTGATAATGTTTAAGATTTCAGAACCCCAGTTCTCAGACTGAAATTCCTAAGTTCTCTAAAGTAGCTCACTCTCTTAGAAAGAAAGAAAAATGGGAAAGTATCATAATCTGTCAATTACTATGGAAACCCTAGTCAAAGCCAAGTATAACTTCATGCACCTACTTGCAGATACCTAGAACTCCTATGTAAGACAGTTTTTGATTAACACGGATAACATAGCAGCAAACATAGATTTAAAAAGATTACAAGGAAGATGTTAAATTGTCTGCTAAAGCAATCAAGATGCTTTCTGAAAACCAGTTGTGCATCACTGGCTGTTAGGAAGAACATGAAAAGAGGAGGGGTAACATAGGCCTGCTTATAGTTAACCACTTCTTATTGGTTTCAGAAAAACCACTATGATCCTCCTAAATTTGAACTTCATAGATTGACAAAGGAAGAGCACAATATGTTTATATTGTGTGATGCCATTGTTCTTTTATTTTGCTTGTTGCTGTTTTATGAATTTTTAATGTGTTGTATTTTAACTATGTTGATCAGGCTTGTTCCCATGTAAGCCACCCCGAGTCCCTTCGGGGAGATGGAGGCAGAGTACAAAAATAAATAATAATAATAATAATAATAATAATAATAATAATAATTATTATTATTTCTACAAGTTTGTGCATATTCACATAGGACATGGCAATGCTATGATTATCACCAGGAAATTCCTCTATAAGAGGTGGAAGTTATTCAAGCAGATACATTCAATTTGAAAAAAAGACTGCTTGCTGCGTTACAACACCGTATCAACATCTGGGTCATGCAATGATTAATATCGTGAATTCAAGAATATCCAGCATTTCGTCTGGAAATTTTTCTGAACAAACATTCACCAGACATGTCTTGTTTGCAATCCTTATATCCAGATAGACTGATCCTGCTATCTATTCAAACAATGTCTACCTAAAACTCTTTTGAACAATGGCCACCTAGAAGTCTTTAAATTGCTACCATTACAGTATTTCCATTCTGACTCTTCAGGTGATTGCACTGTTTTGTTTTGTTTTGAGCTGAATATATAGACAGAGAGAGAGAGAGAGAGAATAGGATTAAATAAGTCAGAGTCATAGGAAATCTATGACTCTTCATGAATCTCTCCCTTTCCTAAAAAAGGGGGTAAGGGCAAAAATCATAACAAAAACTCACCAAAAACCAGGAAGCTCTAAAGATTGAAAGCATGAAAGGGTCACTAACCATGAATAGGACTACCGTCCCCTCTTCCCGGTGTGATCCTCCCACTGCATTCAACCAATTAAAGCCTTCTGAAAGGAAATAGAAAGGGAAAAGCGATTACAGGAAGGGCAGCAATCAGCAGTAAGCTGAGTCCCTATCCCATGATCCTACCTGTGCCAAAAGTCATCTGGCACAAACTGCAGAGATTTTGCCCTATTCTGCCTCTCAGACTGGAAAAGATAGCATGAGATTGGATTGGAGTCTATTTCTGTTTTCCCATATAATCAGAGAATGTAGATCATCTATATTTGGTTCACGGATTTATTTAGGAAGCTGCTGAAAGAGTATACACCAGGCCTATTTGTTAAACTCCTCAATATTTGTTTAATGGGAAAACACTTTTACTAGAGAGTGAGTATAAGGACTGCTACAGACTAAACTTGCTTCTGAATAACATACAGTATAAAGCCCCAACTTCGGGGATAAGCATTAGGACTTTGTGTGGATGCGCCAAACTGTGGTAATAGCAACTCTAGATTTTCATGCTCAGCATCAAAATAGCTCCCCCCTTTGCTCACCTGCTGACCCACAGAGATGGGAATAGCCAAAGGGAAGACACACATGTGGGGTGTAGCCTATTCCTCACAAGCACCAGTTCCAAGTAGAGGACAAAAGAATTATACAGTGAATGCCCAGGGCTCTAGTGCCATGGCTACCACCACCAGCTGAGATACTTCTTCCAGACTGCTGGCTCCCACAGTGTCACTGTGCCAAAGTCAAGAGCAATGGGAGACCAGGCTACCCATGCTTGCTTTGTCCGGCAAAAGGCCACCATCCCTTTACTCCACTGAGACAGGTATGGGCAGCTTGCCTTTTCTGCAGGAAGAAAGGGATAGAGGCTCTTTGCTCAGCTTAGACAAGAATGGGCAACCTGGCTACCTCTCTCCTGACAGAGTGAAGGGATGAAAAAGAAAAGGCAAGACCTTGGCCATGGAGCTGACATAGACAAATGAACTTCAGATACCAATATGGGGTTCATATTCTAGGTCTTTTGGTTTCATATCTAAAGTAAATGTGGTGGACTTCCAGCAGAATAAAAGACCACAGCACCACTTCTAGGGACACAAACGGTCTGCTCAAAATCTGCTTAAATTCCTGTTCTGCAGCTAAGGAACACACTCTCCAGTGTAAGCTACTTGATGCTATTATCAGAAGCATGCACTTCTCCAGACAACTGTGAATTTACATTAAAAATATGTTTACTGTGAAATTTTACTTCAGGTGTAATGCTATGCAAAATATGCTTATTAGAAAGTAAATCCATGCAATTATATGCAAAGCATTGCTTTCTAACAGTGCAGTTCTGGGGGCACTCCACTGAGGGTGGAGGAAGAAACCTTACTTGTCTTCCTTCTCTAAATGGAGTTCTTCCCACATGGAAAGAGAAACAAGAGCAAGGAAATTAACTAAACTGCATGGCTACAATCATTCCTGGCCCTTGTAAGAGCATAAATGGAGGACTTAACAGCTACAGGGCCCTATGACTCCATGAGCTCACCCAATGCCCTGATCTCATCCTAGTCCTAATGATGAAGGAAGCAATAAAGCTTTCCACTATCACACAGGGGAGAGCTGCACCCACAAATCAATGGTAAATGCAAATCGATAGCTTTCTCAGTCTGCAATTCCAGCCATTTTAACATAAAAGTTAGGTCTCTAATATTTTAAATATATCAATGTTCTTTGTAGTGAGTATAATCATTTTATTGTACAATCCTAATTTCTCTATTCCACTGCTATGTTTTGAGAAAAAATATCCTGACAAAATTAATCTTCTACTGTGACTAAACTGGGAAGACAGAAGGGCAGCCCTGTGCCTCCTGAAGTCTCCCCCAGTCCAAAACAACCCCAAAATATTTCTGGCAATATTTTTCAGACACAACACATACAAATTACATTTTTTGCTCATTTAACCTCCAAAGACCCCGCAACACTGAGAATTGGCCCACTCCCCTCCAAGATTAGCTGAAACCAAAACTGGAAGTGATGTGACGTCATTTTTATTGCAGCAGGCATGCCAGTCCAGCCACCTAAGGGCATCTCTCCATTCCCAGACCCAATTGCCCATCCCTGATCTAAGCCTTGTGCCAACATGTCATGTCATATGGTTCATCTTTAAGGTACAAGGACCTCTTTTGTAAGTGGTGGCTTACTTGAGACTTACAGCACTTTTATCAGAGACACTAGTAAAAAAATGCATTTATGTGCCCATATCATAAGCCCATAAGTAAACATGACTTTAAATATTTCTTATTTGAATCGTTCATTCACATATGTTTGATTCTTCTGAATGGGCAAAACAAGGGCATAGAGCAGTGGCTCTCAACATATCAGTACCCATGTTTTGGCCCTCAACTCCCAGAAATCTTAACAGCTGGTAAACTGGCTGAGATTTCTGGGAGTTGTAGGCCAAAACACCTGGGGACCCACAGGTTGAGAACCGCTGGCATAGAGCGATATACTGATATTCTGAAGGAGTTAAAGTACTTAGTGAGAGCAGAGGAGATGAGATGTCATACCAGATAAATTTCTTCTAATATATACCTAAATATTTTTCCTCTCCTGCTGAAAACAATAAAACATCTTAAATATCCAGTGTTGCAGATAAGAACTTTTAAAGTGGCTGAATATGGGGCGAAGGAAGGGCCAGAGGCGCAAAGGAAGCACCAGAAAGACTCAGAGGAAAATACTCCCTTAACAGCCAAACAGCTGAAAATGGCTGACTTTATAACACTGAAGTTCTCACTGTGAATTACTTCTCAGCTTTAGTTGAAAATGACAATGAAAATGAGGAAAGTGAGGAAGATAAAGTGGACAAACAACTAAGATAAGGTGGCCAAACAACCTTGTGGAAATATAAATGATATAGAAGAATTAAACATCAGAAAGGACAAGCTGTCAGATCAGTGAGACTGCTCCAAAACACAACAACGAATTGCCATAGCAGTTCAGCATATTTACAAGGAGCTAAGGATAGTCAACTGCAAAATGGATTCCATCATCCAGGAACAGAAAGAGAAGAAGCTATCAAAGCAGACTATCTGCAAAACAGTTTTGGATAAAGCTCCTTTTACGAAGTCTACCCTGTTATTCCATAAAATAGGAAACTCCTCAAAATTGGTGCTTAGTCCTAATAAAGTCTACTTGTCAATAGAAGAACACCATATACCTCGCTAAGAGGCACCTGCAAATTTTTGCTAAAGGGAAAAATGAAACGATTAGATCTTCATACTGTGGAAATGCTGACTTTTGGAAGTTGCCAAACAAGAGTCATATTAAGTTTCTATTCAGGCTGTATACTTTTAATGCTTCTGCGCATGAGAGCCAAACTAGCAACAAAATACATCTTTCCAAACCATGTGTTCTATAACGATGTTACACTTCCGTTAGTCTCAAGAGCAAAACATCCTCAGCTGAGTTCAGGAAGTTTAAAGAAGTATGCTACAGAAACACAAAACCTGATTTTGGGAAATAATTTCAAAGACTCCTTTCCAGCTCTCACGGAGCTAGAGCAACTGGAAATTATTAACAGACTGGAACTGCTACTCATCAGTACTTTAATTCTGAGTAAAAGAAGTCAGTTTGAGATCCCACAGCCTACATAGGGCTGAAATGATTCACTGGATATCCAACCCAAAGGGCCCAAGGCTACAGAAGGGGCCTACAGACATCATGCCAAGTGCAAAACAATGGGTTACCCTGTGAAATAGAGCTGGATCTGCATTCTACCAGAGCCCTACCTTATGAATTACACAGTGAAGGGGTTGGGAAATCATAGGCTCAGGAGCTGGCCAAATTAGGCCAAAGCACTGACCCAACTCCTGTAAAAGTACTGAATAGCTATGGTGCCATATCTGGTAGAACGAGGTCCAACTGATATTCCTATCTATCTCTAAGCAGTCATTTATTCACACATACATTTTTGGAGCAGAATGTTAAAATGTTCAGTATTTTAGTTAAGAAAATAGTCTTTCGCTTTTTGGGAGTTTGGGGACACATTATTCTAATTCATTTTTTTTTTCAAATTAAAGGGAACAGGCTAACTGGTTTCAATAAGCCTTTGAAAATGGACTGCTTATTTATTTTATTTTATTTACCCTATTTATATCCTGCCTTTCTCAACCCCGTAGGGGACTCAAGGCGGCTTACATATATAGGCAACGATTCGATGCCATGTAAACATACATATATAACAAACATATATTTAAAACAACCATTAAAAACATAATAAACCTTAAAACAGTTATTAAAATCACATTATCCCAAATCGTAATCAATGGCAGTTCCAAACTGCCTTGAACTATTCTATAATTCTCTAGTGAGTTACTAACTGAATGCTTGATCTCATATCCACATCTTTAGCCTTTTCCTCAAGCTCAGGAGGGAGGTGGCTGATCTGATTTCATTTGGGAGAGAATTCTATAGCCGAGGGGCCACCACCAAGAAGGCCCTCTCTCTTGTCCCCACCAACCACACCAGCAAAGGGGGCGGGGCCAAGAATAGGGCTTCCCCAGATAATCTTAACCTCCTAGCTGGCTCATAGAGGGAGATACTTTCAGACACTTTCCTTTAAAACAGTGGAGACTGGGTACACATTTACTTGAAATACAGCCTCACATTATTTACGCTCAAGTAATTCCTCTAGTTTGAAGAGCTTATTTTTGAGACTAATTGTATTTTTATCTTCTTGATGTAGGTTTGCTCTTACTCATATCTGCCATCTTACAACCTGTTTTAGTGGAAAAGCTGGATAAATAAATGAACAAATATGTACATATACATATGTACAATTTAAGTCCTAGTGGAACAGTAGAGTGTACCACACTATACCACATCCCTTCTTGTAAAGGCGAAGTGGTTGTACTACAACAACTGTCATTCTTAGATAAAGCCAAAACAAGTTACAAATCACTTAAGTTAATCCTACCTCAGATATTGGATGTTGCAACTCCAAAAACCAAGAGAAGCCTGAAAGGAAGCATGCTCCAAAACAAGGAGAATCAAGATAACACAAGTTTTTTAGACTGTTAGAGAATGTTTCCTTTCAGTTTTCCTTTGAAAAAAGCATTTCAAAATCAGCCATTTGTACATGTCTTAAAATTAGTACCTAACTGAGGTCTCTTTCTGTTGACTCTGAATTCTCAGTTTCTCTTTATCCTTGAATTGGAAATGTGTGACTATATATACTCACAGCAGTATCCGGCAAGCCTCACTGTTGCTTCCACCCATTGAGTCAAAGTAGGTGATGTTTTTTTTCCTGAAGTCAATAACCTAAATAAGACAGAAGTTGTAATTAAAAAACTGAAAACCCATCAACTTTTGATGAAAAAGACAGTATCCTGTCATTTTATATTGGGAAACTACGAGAAAGAAGACTTCATTCTAAAATAAAAATGAATGGTACATTGGGGACTTAGCATGAAGGTCCACTCTTGCCCTCCAGAAATGTTTAATCTCTTTGTAACCCAGGCGAGGTGAGGGATTATATCGTTTAAATTAAGATTTTTTTTTCAAAGCACCCTATAAAAGCCAGAGACAAAACCAAGAAAGGGAAAGAAAGGTCTTGCCATCACATAGTTGGGCTGGATGTCTCCTTCTTGGCAAGACTAGACCTGAATGTTAAATTTCTCAATGTACCATTTTCTGCCAGCAGAGAAGGCAGTACCCAGGAATTGGACCTAGTGAAATCTGTACCTGTATTGGAAGGAGAAAGGTGGAAAGATGGCATAAGAGTATATCCTGTATACTAATGTATGCATCTAGAAAATCAGCTCAAAACCCCCCCGGTCAACCTATCCACTGGTCAAATGTGGTAAATTACTCTTCTCAAAAAAAGTACCAACCCCTTCACTAAGTAGAACAGCAAAAGGCAAGAACTTAGTCCATTCTGGGAGAAGCTAAATCCTTGACTCTTTCTGTTGTGTAGCCACTTATGGCCTTTCTGAACACTTGGGTGAAGAAATGGACTTGTACTTTCTCCTCTTTGTGGAATGGCCCTGAACATATCTACAGGCCATATCTCCCACAGACCCCTTTCCCCTTCTTTCCTTTTTTCTCCAAAGGTAAGGCACTTTACAAAACCCAAAATGGAAGTCTTTAGATAGAGAAGGGAAGATCAAGTTCCACAGACCTTCATTTCATAGTTTATAAACTTCCTTGCCTTCGAAGAACAGTTGCAGAGCCATTTGGGACTGATTCCCCCAATCAGCCCCAAACAGCTCTGTGAGGAATCACAAAAATACCAATTTTGCCAGCCAAAAGATAGGGGTGCAGCTATTACGCAGTGGCGACCATTAGGTGATGAAATACAGTATTTTTTCAGACTGGTGTGGGAGAATTTGAGAACAATGAACTGTATGAACAAATTTCATCTCTCAGTCAAACACATACCAACTCAAATAAAAGAAAATACTCACTGCCAGGCACCAGTGGATACCAAGATGAATAGGCACCAAAAGAATGTCCACAGAAAATATATCCACTTTCTTAGTCCAACGCTTCACAGCTGTGTACCCAGCGTTTTTTAACTTGGTGAAGAAGAAAGTGTTAAATGCATGAACGGTTGGAAAACCCTTCTGTTTACTTCTTTCCATTAGCATATTCATGTAGAAGTTGATTATCTGAAAGGAAGATGGATGTATTGTAAGAGATGTATTAATATGGTGCTTTTATACAATAAAAAGATAATGAGCATTTTCTTGAGAAGTTATGTTTCTATTCATAATAGAACATTCATTAAAATGGTGGTATTCAACCTTGATCACATTGAGCCAGTGCTATCAAAAAGACTAGAATGTTCAACAAATTCAGTATAATAAAAACTTCAATACAAACTTTTCAGTCCTTGGTGGCCCAGTGGGATAAACCCCTGTGCCGGCAGGACTGAAGACCGACAAGATCGCAGGTTCGAATCCGGGGCGAGGTGGATGAGCTCCCTCTATCAGCTCCAGCTCCTCATGCGAGGACATGAGAGAAGCTTCCCACAAGGATGATTTTTAAAAAAATCAAATCATCCAGGCGTCCCTTAGGCAATGTGCTTGCAGACGGCCAATTCTCTCATACCAGAAGCGACTTGCAGTTTCTCAAGTCGTTCCTGACATGACCAAAAAAAAAGTCCTATAAACATGATGCTAGACCCTTCTCAACTGATATAAACTAGTACTTACAGCTTCATTAAGATATTTGATATAATAACAAAAAGCATATTAAGAATGAAAAGTACATTACCTCATCATTTAGCCAATTGAGATTGTTAAGGGTGTGAATGTCTTTCCTAGTTATAGTTAACCGGAAGGCTTCGCTCAACACCTCATCTTGGTTGCCACTTCGTAAAACACTCTTTATTTCCCTGTCCATCTCCTAAAAGAAATAAAGGAGGAGTGACAAATACTGACTTTGGCAATGCAACAGTTTCCCCTGAATTTAACTATTACAGTAAGTAACTTTTTTTCACAGAAGGTATGGGTGGAAAAGATTGTTTCCACGGTAGAGACAAAATACTATTGTGAATCTGGAATCATAGCCATAATAATTTTAGGTTTGTCTGGCAATAAATTGTTTCTATGAAGTCCCAGCACAAAGAGGGGAATGGCAGGAAAAAGGAGAGTACCACATACTGAAAATGCAGGTCAGGTTAAGAGAGGCTGGAAAAGGAGAAAAACAAATACATATACCTGAAACTGGGCTTTATAAAACCTAATTAACAAGGGGCACAATAGGACATGATTTAACGGGCTCTGGTATTTTTGTTTGTCCTGTTCCCTCTCTGTGAAATGCGGAACAGGAAAAAGTCATCAGACAAGCCCTGAATCAACAACACACCACGGCTTCTAAACAACTGAAAATTGATGAGCTCTTCGGGAGGGAACTGTGAGTATACCTGATTTAAACACATTATTTCAAATTACTACAGAAACAATGCTACTCCCTTCATTCTTCATGATAAAGCTAATGAGCCTCCATCAGCAGACTCTGGCAACAACTTGGCTGTAAATCATGAAGGAGTGCCCTTGGAGTCAAATGAAACAGAAGCGTCAGAAGGTGAGGTAAAACAACATACAGGGCAAACAATTACCCCGGACCTTGTGATGAATCAATGTCTTCTTACAGCCAACACTGCTGTTTCTATCTTTGAACTGCTAGAAAAAATTGTGGGACAGTTGGAGCTTCTTAAATTTGCTGTTGACCATTTCATTCAAAAATATATACTTTTAAAATAAAATTCCACTAAAGATAACAGCACATGGGACAAAGAGAATATGGTGTCCGAAAATGCTAGGAGCTCCTCAATAATACCTACTAAGGTGCTATAAAATGTAATGGCAATAGGATTTCACAACCAAATCAAACAATGTTGCAAAATTGCCCACACTAAAATAAATAAGGGCAAATTGAATTTATTTAGAGCTATCAGAACTTTTTTGAGCCAACAAGCCTGAACTGACAATCCAGGTAAACAACTGTTCCTGTTTACAGTTCCTACAGCAGTATCGTCCGAGTATGTGATAAATAGGTCATGAAAATCAAATGTCATAAGAAACAACAATAATCTAACATAGAGATTGGCATATTGGGGAAAGAATTGGCTAGAACGTTCTCCGTGAGATCTCATTCTGTCCAAGGATGGTTTGTTACATGATCTTCTATTTCTGTAAACTTGCTCAAAGTGTTCTTTATTTGTAAAGCTTTTCAGCATTAATATATTTAAAAACTTGCCTCTGTGATTTCAGGAAAGTTTTCTTCAACGCGTGTGGTCCTGTTGTCCTCTGGAACGACTGTGACCGGAATTTCCTTCTCAAGAGGCACTCGCAGGTGTAAGTCTACTGAGTCAGGTAGGCAAAACCCCTGCTTCTGCAATCTCTAAAAGACACATCCTTCAGATAGCAGTGACTCATTTTACAGCTTCTCACTTTTCAGATAATACACAAAATGTTTCCACCTGATAAATTTTTTTAAATAAGGGTGAGAAATGAAATCCTGTGATTCACTTTACTTAGGTTTCAATCTAGTACTGGCTTCCAGCTTGCTCATCAGCTTTTAGACCAGTGGTTCCCAACCTTTGGTCCTCCAAGTATTTTGGATTTCAGCTCCCCAGAAATCCCAGCCAGCTTGCCAACTGTTAGGAATTATGGGAGCTGAAGTCCAAAACACGGAGGACCAAAGGTTGGGAACCACTGTTTTACACTAACTGGTTTTTATTCTTACATGAGCTAATGTGCATATATAATCCTCAGTTGCATCAGACATTACTAATCTATCCTGGGATGACAAAAAGGCAAGATGTAAATAAAATTATAAAATAAAAAATATGAGAAAAATGGAAATAAAGCACACGAAGTAAAAAGAAATAGAAATAACAGGAAAAAATAACAGAATGAACAAATTGGTAAATAAAATAGAGGGGAAAATCAAAATATAAAATTCCTCCTCACATTGCCTAGACCAGGCCTGCCCAATCTGCAGCAATCCAAGTATTTGGGCCTCCAACTTGCAGAAGCTCTAGCCCTAGTTTCTCCAAAGTAATTCTGAGAGTTGAAGTCCAAAACACCTGGAGGGGATACTGTGGGATTTGGGATCTTTCTGATTTAAAAAAATTGGGTGGAAGAGCTTGTGGTGTGTGAATTGCTCTCCAACGTCCCCCGAGGTTGGCAATGCAGCCCCCAATCCCTGAAAATTGATTCTTTCTCTTTCTGGAAGAGAAAGCTATCTGAAGAAATCAGGGTGCTTCCCATATCATATTAAATCACAATATTCATTTTTTAAAGGACTTTTGACTTTTACCTGGTTCTGCAACTGCAATGCTAAAGCTTTTTGTTCCTCTATACGTCGCAATCTCTCACGTGCTCGAGAGTCATATACGCTGGTCCTAGGAAAAAATTTTGCATTCAGCAGACAGATTTAGTATACACAGCAATAAAGTATACATCTTTGTTGTTTTAAACTATATGTAGTCTTGTTTGTTTAGGCTCATGATTAATGTTCATATCTAACCCATCTGAGATAGAGGAAGGGAAATGCGGCCAAATTCAACAAAGGAAATTGCCAGTAAGTTCTATCCCTACCTTATGCCTCTAAATCAGTGGTTCTCAACCTGTGGGTCCCCAGGTGTTTTAACAATTTCCAAAAATCCCAGCCAGTTTACCAGCTGTTAGGATTTCTGGAAGGCCAAAACATCTAGGGACCCACAGGTTGAGAACCACTGCTCTAAATCAACTGAGGATTGGAGGAATGAGGGAGAAAGAATGTATTTGGAATCTATCAAAATATGAGACATATGAATTGTCATTCCCCAGTCTAAATGTTTTACTGTATATACCTTCCACAAAGACATCTTCTCCCTTTTTTTAATTCCTTGCCCACAAGCAGTTTATTGGTGGATATTTCAGAAAGTAAAAAAGGACTGCCCACACATACATGGGAGAAGAAGTCATGAAACATCATCTAGACTTACTGAAGGATTTTGTTCTCCTACTTTCAAGACAGCTATGGCAAGGTACTGATTACTGATAAGGAGAACGAATTTAATACACACAAGATGAAAACTCTTCAAGTCACTAATTGAAAAACAGACTATGCATTCTACCACTATTTTCTTGTATCTGTCGTAAGTCAACAGCTTTTGTCTGTCACCCCATGCACCCTAACAACTTCTGTGAAAACAGGCTGCAGGCAAAACTTTTTGGGAGAGCTCCAGCTTCTCTTCCAGTGATGGCTGATGTTTAGAGGTCAGTTTTTCTGGTCATTGTAGCAAAAGAATCACAAGCGTTTACTCTAATAGCAGGAGGAAGAAAGCTGTAATTTACTTTGACAGCTGTTTCTTAAAAGAATACTGGTTTCTGAATGCCAATTAGTTGTATTTACCCCTAAGAAGGAAAATTCACTCCTGTAGGAGTTATCACGGGAAAAATCTCTCTCCACTGAAGCTTTATTACCAATCGTTGTTTCCACAACAACCCAAAATTTTCACAGAGACAGAAAGTGAGATGGAATGTTCAGAACAGGGACACAGACCACAAAATAAATATTACAGGGATGTTAACCCTTCCAGCACTTTAAAAAATGGCTGGAATTACACTTTAAAATGTACCTGTTTCAACTTACATACAAATTCAACTGAAGAACAAACCTAGAGAAACTATCTTGTCTGTAACTTGGAGATTGCCTGTATTCACTTCACTACCAGGAATATCTTTTTGGTGTACAACTGTTTTATCATCAGCATTAGTACGCTCCTACACTGGTGATGTGTTGACCTATACTGTACTTGTTAAAGCTGCACTGGCTATTGCAACACAGATGCAAAACAAATTTGATTTTGATTTGAGCCATAATTGTTTAACCCGATTTGGAAAAGTACCAAGATAACAAGCTGGATGCAGCATGTATAAGAAGGCTAATTCTTGAGTAATAGGTGCATATTGAATCTATAAACCATTAGCCTAACATATTATGTATAAAAACACTTACAATTCTTTTATCCATAATTCAGCCTCAAAGAAAGGTGTGCTGAAAGCAGAAAAGAGATGAAAAGTATGAATGTTTCTTCTATGAGGAAAACAAAGTATTATTAGCTTAAACGCCAATAAAAGGCAATGATAGCTATGAAAGAAAACTAAATAAAAATAATAACGTAGCCCAACTGCATAGTATGTAGCCAAACTGAAGTAAAATGTAGGTTAAAAACTGTGGGCAGTTAAAATGATGAGTCAAAGCCATGGTGTTTGAATGAATGTTACACACAAGGAGCCAGCAGGGATGCAGTGCTAGGAATCTCTCACTAGAAGGCACTGCAAACTCACTCCAGAAGGTGAAGTGGCAGAAATGAAAACCAAGGAAATGGCAAGCAGAAACCAGAAGAAAATATCTGGCTGACATGCAAACACAGAGACATGATCTCCACCCCCAAGTTCAGTGGCCTGGAAGGAAAAACAATAAGCACCTGTTGATGTGAAGTTACAGTCTGAAAAGAAAAGTTATATGAAAAGAAAATCCACATACAACAATTACCTTTACCCTGCCCCTTTCTTTGTAGGCAGGAGAATGAAGATGCCTTTTAGGCAGGGCATGTGTCAACTTTGTGTTCTGATCTATTTCTTCATTTAAAATAGGTATTAGTGTCTTTCTCTCTATCCTTTCTTCATTTTTAAAGAAAACAAATTAAATAAGATCGGTGTTATAAAAACTGCCTACCTACCAGAGGAAATACCAATGAAAACAAAGCAGAGGATGGTAACAGAGATAATCCTGACAAGTAAACAACAGTTTACACCCCAAGCAACCTCTGCCAACACTAAAACCATTTGGGGGGGGGGGGGGGGGGGGAGACTTGGAAGGCTTACTGGAAGCCCTCAAAAAGGTTTATTTGATCCTGCCTACGGAGAGGAGCAGAACAACCTATATATATTCAGGATATGCCTCCCTTAAACATAGGGAATTTTTACTGTTGCAGAATACAAAAAAATGCCTGTCGAGATTATTTGGCTAAATGAGGTCATGAATTTCAACTCTAAAAGGAGCATGAGCTGACTGGGATAGGATCGAAACAGTCAGGCATCTTACCTTGGCAGCTAAGCTGTCAGGCCTATTAAGTATTTGGACAAAGAAAGGCCAAGGAATACCAGCAACGGGCAAGCCATCCCTCAGTATTCTTTGGCTAACAGAACAGAATGGAATTCATGGGGCCATTCTTAAGTCAACAGGTGACAATAGTACAGATACACACATAGAGGCACAACTGATGTTCAATTATACACAGGCATCTGAGCTAAATATCTAAATAAGAGCTATCCAAACTGCCACAATATGTTACTATGTTGGCTGTAGGGTGTAGGTGTAAGAAACAATGTGTAATCTCTCATAAAGCGCTGATTTAACTTCCAGTTTGCTAGTAAAACCAAATTACTGTGTTGTGAAATGATCCATATCCAAAAGGTGTGTCACCAACATGAAATGTTTGGAAAGCTCTGATCTAAACCAATACAAACTGCAATACCAACAGAAATATATGTAATACAAAACAAACAGAAAGAAAGAAAATCAGCCAATCAGAAAAAAAAATACTTGCCTTGGAGCCGGGGATTGTATGTCTTTGCCATTGAGCATTATGACAGAGTCAGAACCTATATGTAGTAGATACACAGAAAGATTGAAATTCATATTTGAAAACAAACTTTTCCAGAAATGTCAATCCAGATTCTTCATTATCTTCCTGCTAAGAGTTACTCCACAGATATAATAGCTACATATCCATGATACTGTTGCATATCCAGACTGTTAAGAATCAGATTAGAATTCCAATTCTTTTTGAGATGTTAATTTAGTAGCGGATTGCAACTATCAGCTAGAAACTACAAATGAAAAATATCCCTAAGCAAATGAATCGGAATTTGACTGCAAGTTGCAGATTGCAAGTATCAGAATGACCATCAGCCAACTTCTGTTTACAAGTGCTGTAAGGCAGGCAAGGAGCATATGCAACCCTCCAGATGCTGTTGGGCTGCAAGTTCCAACATTCCTCACTACTGGCTACACTGCCTGGTATTGGTGGGATATGTAGTCCAACAAGACCTGGGGAACGGGTCATGTGATTTCCACGCTCAATTTAGAGAAAGCAGTAACTAAGGAATCATGGAAGAAAAATCCACCAATCAGCTTATATCTAGCATTTACCTTTGGCCTGCATGTTCAATGCTGCTTGGTTGTTTTGCTGTCTCGGTGTACTGGCATCCTTTGGTTCAAAGCTAACATGTGAAGAGAAACTAGGGATCGAATGTGGCTGTGGTTTGTGAGAATGCTGCTCCTGAATCCTGAGAATAGCAGGTGAATGATTGCTTGCAGGGGTGCCACACACTTCTAAAGGGCTTCGATTCGTATTTTCACCTTCTTTTCTAAGGTTTCCATTGGAACCTGTACATCTAGCTCTGAAAGCATAAACAAATTACTAGAACTTGCCAAAAAAGAAGAAAAAACGAAGCCTAACTCAGTTTGTACACTTCAGGGACTCACAAGTGGAGGGAGAAAAGTGAAGCAGTCTTGGAGGCTGAGTTTTTCTTCCCTGTAACCATTTGGATCAACTGCCGGTAGATCTCTTTCTCTTCCTCTCGAACAGTCTATGGAGAAATAATCACATACACTGAAAGGAGCTAAGTAATTCTGTTTTGGGTCTCTATAAATATTTTTACTGTATTAAAGTCCACAAGTTTATCTATTTCAATGGAAAAGGTTTTAACTAGGGCAAATAATAATTTAGTTTCTGTAAAAACAACAACCAAATTAGCAAAGACCACTTTGATCCATAAGCCTCAGCACTGAAGATGAAAAACAAAGAGTTGACCTGAATAAGATTGGGAGTGTTTTTATATGCTTTAAATACCCAGAGAAAGGAGCCCCACTGAGTAACAATGTCTATCCAGCAGTGAAAAGGTCTAACCCATGAAATGAGTTGACTGACCAAACCTACCTAAGAGGAAAAAAGTAAAAGGATAAGATTTGTTTTTTAAACGAGCTCTACTCAATACTCTACTTTTTACTTTCACCTACCTCTTCTGCAGTGCTGATGAATCTCCTCTGGGATTTTTTGGGACTCAGCAAGCTTCGACGGCATGGGGCATTCCATGATGTACTGGTAACAGACTTAATTGGAAAGGATTTTTCATAGGCAGAAACAGGGCAATGGTGGTTTGATTTCCCGGCATAGGAATTAGATGTCCCACTGCAGAAAAAGTTCCATATTTGCCTAGTTAGCCAGTATTAAACAGATTTTTAAGGCTTTGAGTTTTATACTACATAAACTGAAAACACACTTTCTTCTTATTTCCCACAGCCTGCAAAAAACAAGTATCACTTCGATCTTTTAAAACAGTATTACTGTTTCAAATTTACTAAGTAGCTCTTTACTTAGTAAATTTGTTGTAGCTACATATTGTTTTTGCTGACATTCACTTAGGTCCTATGGATGTGAAAGAGAAAACAAAGTATCTTGATGAGTAGCAGAGTCTAGGTGGGATGACAAGGACTCAAGTTGAAAGTTGTCCAACCTTCCTTGGATTCTTCCTCTCGCATCATAACAAAAAAGAAAACAGACCAGTAGCATGCTCTTATATACAGTCCTTTGGTAAGTGCCACAGGTTCTCAAGCACCAAGTCAAAGCATTTTACTCTTCTGCACCTCAATGTCCTATACCTATTTTTAGAATGGGAAAAGATACAACTTAGTTATTATACAAATATCTTAATGTTTTACCAAAGGTAAAGGTTTCCCCTGGCATTAAGTCTAGTTGTGTCTGACTCTGAAGGGTAGTGCTCATCTCTATTTCTAAGCTGAAGAGCCAGTGTTGTGTATAGACACCTCCAAGGTCATGTGGCCACCATGATTGCATAGAGGGCTGTTACTTTCCTGAAAGGCAGAATCTCACATATGCATTTTCAAACTGCTAGATTGGCAGAAGCTGGGGCTAGGTTTCTGCAAAATAGGACCAAGTGTAGAACCACAACTTCTCCACTGTCCATTGGCACTTGCTCCAAATGTTCTTAGCCCTCCAGAGGCTTGATAGGAGCTCTCCCCGCTCCCCAGAGTCAAACCGTCAACCTTTCAGCCAGCAAGTTCAGCAGCTCAGCGGTTTAAACTGCTGCACCACCAGCATTATAAAGGCAATTCACTCCATACATAGTGAACTTATTATAGTATACTATTAGTCTACTATTAGTATACAGAAGCATATGAAAAGCTTGGCTTCTCACTGAACATTGAGAAAACCAAAGTGCTTTACCAGCAGGCACCAGCCAATTCTTCTGCAATGTCAGCAATAAAGTTTAATGGTGTAGTGCTAGGAAATGTTGATCACTTTCGTTACCTTGGTAGCCACCTCTCTACAAAAGTCAACATCAACACCAAAATACAACACCGTCTGAGACCTGCGAGTGCAGCATTTTTTCAAATAAAGCAGAGAGTGTTCAAGAATCAGGACATTCATAGTGATACCAAGATGCTGTGAAACATGGACCATCTACAAATGTCATGCTCAACTTCTAGAACAATCAGTGTTGCCTTCAAAAAATCCTGCAGACCTCTTGGAAAAACTTGAGGACAAATGTCAGCATTCTGAAGAAGCAAAGACCACCAGCACTGAAGAGAGGAATCTCCATCGACAACTTTGCTGGACTGGTCATGTCCAAATGCCAAATCACCATCTCCCAAAGTGGTTTATTCCCAACTTAAGAACAGAAAACGGAATGTTGGTGGACAACAAAAGAGATTTAAATACGGGCTTAAAGCTAACCTTAAAAATGTGATGTAAACACCAAGAAGTGGTAAGCCCTGGTCCTCAAGCGTTGTAACATATGTTGCCAACAATGCAATGGATTTTGAAAAGGCAGAAATAGAGGGCAAAAGGAAGACATGTGCCAAGAAGAAGGTGCACCTAGAAAATCTTTGTCATGACTGTCTTTCATCTAGAAATCTATATCCTCAAATTGAAATATTATACGGATCCAGAACAGGTTTCTACAGTCATATACATTCTCACCTCCAAGACTCTACCCTTGGAAGACAATCATACTCGGCCATGAGTGATCGCTTATAGACATACATACAAATGCTTTTGGCACAACCTGGTGGAAGTGGCATATAAATAAACAAATATTTTTATACCCTAATATTGATATATTTCAGGATATTGTCTGTGGAAAATATCATTGCTATTGTTCTAAATACACTGTTACTTTATATGCTCTTCTCTCTCTCTCTCTTTGAAAAAAAAAATCCTTTTCCAGTTCATGGCTGAAAAAAAACCTAAATTGATAAACATGGTAAACCAAAATGACAATCTAATGGGAACAGACAAACCTCAGGTTTTTGCGTGTCTCAAAGTACACGCTGCGATTTGGTCTAGGTTTCTGCAAAATAGGACCAAGTGTAGAACCACAACTTCTCCACTGTCCATTGGCGCTTGCTCCAAATGTTCTTAGCCCTCCAGAGGCTTGATAGGTCTCAGAGGATGGAGGTTCTGCCAGGATAGAACCATTGAATAGTAAATTAGAAGCCAGCAGCCTCACATCAAAGTTATTACTAAACAATTTAATTGCATCAAATATCATTTGCCTTGAAAGTGGTTTGCAGCATGTATCTCTTAGCCAGTATCACTTAAGAGAAAGAAACTACAGGAGTTTCAATAAATAATTCCAAAACTTAGTTTTACAGATGTTATCATAACTTGGTTCACTTTTAAGCAAGCTATGTGTTCTATGTAATAGTTGTTGTCTGTATTTTACAATCTGATTGATTTCAATTAATACATCAACTGTAGTTAAAACAGCCTGTCTTACCTGGCAAATAACTGAAGTTACAGGAGGAATTTACTGTAGAACAAGTAAAAGGTCTCTCCAAACCATCAAGCTTGTTTGCTAAAAACTGAATAAGAAGGAAATAAAAACCAAAGGATATTAAAAGAGAGAAAGATCATATTCAGAAGGAAAATAAATGCACTTTTCTATACAGATCATGAACTACAGCAGTACACAGGAAGAAAGAACTGTATTTTGCAGCATGAAATCATGCTCAAAACTGGTTGCAAAACGCAAGGAAGTGACACATTTAGATAACAAGCAACACTTTCTACATGAAAAGTAATATTACTTTAGGATAACTGAACAAAACAGACTCCCTAAGAGGTAAGGACAAAATCCCAAGTTATCAGGAGGACTTGAGATGTGAGAAAGTGATTTATAAGTCGCCCATTGCCCATACTGCTTGTTGCAGAAAGCATTACTATGCTAAACATCAAGATGGTTCAGATGCTGGGACATAGGCCTTATAATTAGTAGACAATTAGTATTCTGTTATTTTTATATTATGTTCTGTTTTCACATAACCTCAGGAACCCCAAATATAATTTTATCTTGAGGGAGGCAGAAACTTTTGAACAGCTGGAAAAGCACAATTAATGTTTTTAAAGTTTAAAGTTTGTAAAGGTACATATGCCTCCAGTTCCACTGAACCAAATCAAATAAAAGTTGTAATACAAATAACACAAATAAACAATTACAATCATATTGGAATGTTTGGAGGAAAGCTATATAACAAAATTACAGCACGGATAAAATTGCAAAATATGGCTAATTTCCGAACCTTGTTGTCAGACACAGGAAGGTGATCTCCCAAGACAGCATCCTGCTGTAGAGGAAGAGTCTTGAACACAGATGTGTGATTAGCTAACACAGAGTCTCCAGCATCCATCTTCATACTATCAGCAATTTCATCTGTAAAAAAGAGAGCTGCTAACAGTCAGATTCTCAGGAAGAATCTAAGAGAAATATTCATAGTAAAAGCCTTTTTAAGAATTGTCAAAGGGCACAGGGATTTCTTTTGGAGACTGTGAAGAGTAGAAATAGGAAATACTAAAGAAGCATTTGATTGGAAAGTCGAAGAAAAACCAGTAGCATGATTTTTAAAAGGCGATGCCCAATTATAACACACAACTACAATTGGGGAAGCGAGGCAGCGAACACTTTGCAAAACATTAAGTTTCAGCAATAATACATGCAATCATACAAATTACAGCTTGTAAAAGGGTGCCAGCGCGGATTCAGTGACTTAAATTTAGTTTTAAAAGGTACATTCTGCATTATTTTTAAAAAACTTAAACTGAATATATTTGTCTTCAACTACAATAAACTGCAAAAGAGCAGTAAGCATGAAAGCAATCCGTACTGCTCACTAATGCCAATTCTACTGATCTGCTTAGTAGACATACCAGACCAAGCAGAAATTGTGTCACTAAAGATAAAATCCATCCATGCATCTGTCATGCACTGGAGAAGCAAATGGTCATTTCCTATATGCCAAAAGCTTCTACCCTTAGCTACATCTGCTCATCTCCTATAGAAAGAAGATCCTGGATGTAAAGCAAGTTTACTCATATGACATTATTTTTCTTTGTGATTACTGCAGGAATAGCTCCTTAGGCTGTTGAAGTCACTGACTGTAGGATAAAAGTCAATTCCAAAATATGGAATTGGAAGACACTAAACTCTAAACTTAGATACTCACAAGGGCTTTGGGGACTCTGCTGTTAGATAAAATGATCATGTCTGCACATACAGGAAGTTACAATGCTCTGTTGAAAATTTCTTTAAACTTTTATAAAAACAAAAAAACCCTGTAAATAAAGTAGTTAGGTATAATTCACACTCACCCATTGCTACACCATTCACATAACGGATTCAGAGGATGAAAGTTTCAAGTACCTATAAGAAAGAAAAGGATATAATGGAGAACAATTCTGCATTACATTTAAAAAAAACAATTCAGGACAGCCCACTGAGTGTAGTAGAAATTCATTATTTCCTCAGTAAAGGATTGAAAAAAAATGTAGTTATCTAAAGACTTTTTTACTTCTAGAAAAATTGATGAGAAGCAAGCCTACCTCTTTGGTAGTGGCTTAAGAAGGGTTAGGGTGGGATAGATACCCCTCCACCTGGGAGAGGGCTACCTTACACTGGAGGATCCAATTATGCCCTGTTATAAAGCCTGCACATTTGCCAAGGAAACTTGAGGATTGTTTCTTCCCTCCATGCCAACTCGCAACTGGCATAACTAATTCTGGTCTCTGAAACTAGTGGAGGAAATTCAAAGAAACAAGGATGTGTGTGGGGGTAAAAAGAGTAAATATACTACTCACAATGCCTGCTTAGATAAGTGTAAACCAGCATATATGCTGCCGATTTGTACTATTTCAATATAGTTTAGGATTGTTCTGAAAGCACTGTATGAAAAACAAGAGAATGAGAATTACTTTTGCAATGTAAGAGAAAGAACATAGTGCCCTTCATAAATTCAAAATCAAATGCAGTGGATCTTTCAGGCACTAATTCTAACAAGGATGCATTCATAATAGAGATTAATAACCCCACCTAGTATACGCCACATCAAATTAAAAATTAGTAAGATTTTTAAATCTCAGTAGTCTATGATAACAGAACACCATCCTGAAGCCAGGCCTTTACGGAGGCTGTAGCGATGCTCTGAATATTCTTCTCCCTGTTTCCCTCCAAAAAAGAAAATCCTCCCCAGAAGCTTCCACAAACAGAAATGCTACACACCTACATGGTTTTATGAAAGGCTTTCTAAAGCTACCTTCAAATAGGACTTTTTCTCACTGTCTCTTACCCTTCATCCTCCATTAACCCTGATGTAATGAATAATAGATCACGGTTCAATTTTGTTCCCCCTCAGATGCCATCACTTACATATAGCATAATTTACAAGTAATCCTGAGGGAATGTGATACAAAACAGAGCTTTCTTCCATCACAAGCTAAAAGAAACAAGTGGTTCATTACTACCACCTTGCAAACAAAAGCAAAAAAAAAAAAACATCATTGTTGCCTATATCACAAGCCTTCTGAATTTATAAAAGTCTAACCAAGTGACCAAGGGTAGAATAATTTTTCTGAGGTGCAATGCCATTGAAATACAATCCGTTTTGTTCTCACATTGTCTTTAGAAAATTAAAGAAGATGAATACACACTCTGCACTCTTCTCCTCCATGATCTCTGATGTAACTAAGAGCAAAACCTTGGAACTAGTTTTTCAGGATGTAATCACTTGATCTAATTGTTCTGCATCAATATGATGTTGCAAAAAAATAGGCTGCTTTTCGCTTTGAGATATGCAATTTGTTTATTAGGATAAAAATGGTGGTCAGTTAGGCATATTATGCTCATATTCCAACGTAATTTTCCTATTTTTATTATTATTAGCATATATACTGTACCTGGTATTGGCAAAATATTTCCCTTATTCTCTTTCTTTCCTTCCCCTCATACTTATTCCCCATATAATCCAGTTCAATGCAGGTAATCCACATTCTGAAACTGCATTATATGACAATGTAGATCCAGTCAAGAAAACACACAGACAGAGAGACAACTAACAGGGAATAACCTGTGGAACCTGTGGAGTTCCTCACCTGTGGAACTCACTCCCCGGGGAGATTAGATCTGCGACTTCCCTTTTCTCATTCAGAAAAAAACTGAAGACCTGGATATGGTACCAGGCTTTTGGACATTCTGGCAGCTAAAGGAAAGACCTTGATGATGGACAGGTATTGATGTAACGGAATGGACTTATGGAACTCTGAACACTGACCATGATTGTTTACTATTGTGTTATGTATTGATGTTTTTAATCTGTTCACTGTTTAATTGCTTTTATGTATGTATGTATTTTTGACATAGGCATCAAATTGAGCCTTCCTTTGTAAGCCGCCCTGAGTCCCCCCTTGGGGGTGAGAAGGGCGGGGTAGAAGTAACGGAAATAAATAAATAAATACAATAAGAGTAAAATAGCAGATTTTGGGCTTTTTCACAACTAAATATTAGAATAGTTTTCAAGTCAATTCTAATTTCATTCTAAAAACCACAGTCTCTGTATATCCATGTTCACCATGTGTTGGAAGTGTGTAGGGGAAACCTGAGTGTGCTATAGAATGACAAGGCATATGACTTTCCCCTCAAGATAGACACAAGCCATGTTTTGTCTGTCATAAAATCGACTAAATGGGAGCAGCAGGTGTTATTGAGAAGGATGGGTATAATCACAGTGTGTGAAAGCAACCAGTGAAACAGGAGAGAGAGGGAACTATTAAGTGGAAGTGGAAATTCCTGTTAGAAAGTTGAAGAGATGCCAGGAGGAAGTCACACAGCCCATTAGCATCAGAGCAAATAGCAATAAAATACAAGTCTGCTAGAACAGTATTAGAAAAGATATAAGATTATTTCCTTTATTCATTATTTCCTTAATGCAATATTTTTTCCGAATGAAGCAGAGAGTGTTTGAGGACCGGGACATCTGTAGAGATACCATGGAGCTTGTTTATAAAGCTATTGTCCTCCCAACCCTGCTATATGCCTGCGAAACATGGACAGTCTACAGACGTCACATGCAACTCCTAAAACGATTCCATCAGCGCTGCCTCCGGAAAATCCTGCAAATTTCTTGGGAAGACAGGCGGACAAATGTCAGCGTGCTGGAAGAAGCAAAGACCACCAGCATCGAAGCGATGGTCCTCCGGCATCAACTCCGCTGGACCAGATGCCTGACCACCGTCTCCCAAAGCAGTTGCTCTACTCCCACTCAAGAATGGAAAACAGAATGTTGGTGGACAGGAAAAGAGATATAAAGATGGGCTCAAAACCAACCTTAAAAACTCTGGCATAGACACTGAGAACTGGGAAGCCCTGGCCCTGGAGCGCTCCAGCTGGAGGTCAGCTATGACCAGCAGTGCTGCCGAATTTGAAGAGGCACGAATGGAAGGCGAAAGAGAGAAACGTGCCAAGAGGAAGGCACATCAAGCCAACCCCAACCAAGACCGCCTTCCACCTGGAAACCAATGCCCTCATTGCGGGAGAAGATGCAGATCAAGAATAGGGCTCCACAGTCACCTACAGACCCACCACCAGAACACTGATCCTGGAAGACTATCCTACTCAGCCAACATGGGATCGCCTAAGTAATTAATGCAATATAATAACATATAATGACAATATTGTGATGTTGTTGTTCATTCGTTCAGTCGTCTCCGACTCTTCGTGACCTCATGGACCAGCCCACGCAGAGCTCCCTGTCGGCCGTCACCACCCCCAGCTCCTTCAAGGTCAGTCCAGTCACTTCAAGGATGCCATCCATCCATCTTGCCCTTGGTCGGCCCCTCTTCCTTTTACCTTCTACTTTCCCCAGCATAATTGTCTTCTCTAGGCTTTGCTGTCTCCTCATGTGGCCAAAGTACTTCATCTTTGCCTCTACTATCCTTCCCTCCAATGAGCAGTCGGGCTTTATTTCCTGGAGGATGGACTGGTTGGATCTTCTCGCAGTCCAAGGCACTCTCAGAACTTTCCTCCAACACCACAGCTCAAAAGCATCTATCTTCCTTCGCTCAGCCTTCCCTATGGTCCAGCTCTCACATCCGTAGGTTACTACAGGGAATACCATGGCTTTGACTAGTAATACTAATATATTACATATATAATTACTGATAATATATAAAGATATCTTGTTTTATTATTTTATATTTATATATTTGACATAATGTTTTGGATTGTGTGCTGCTTTGCGTCTCCATATGGCGAGAGAAAGAGAGCTAATATAATTAAATAAAATGCTTGAACTAAACTTCCTTTTTCTCAGTGAGGTCTCAAAAGTGCCACGCAAGCTCGCTTTCCCAGTAAGAAAGGCTTTCTGTGTTCTTACAATATGCCCAAAGTATGACAGCCTCCACTGAGTCAGCTTTTGGTTCCACACTTTTCTTGTCAGCCAGACTTTCCTCATGAGGCACTCTTAGAATCATAGAATCAAAGAGTTGGAAGAGACCTCATGGGCCATCCAGTCCAACCCCCTGCCAAGAAGCAGGAATATTGCATTCAAAGCACCCCCCGACAGATGGCCATCCAGCCTCTGTTTAAAAGCTTCCAAAGAAGGAGCCTCCACCACACTCAGGGGCAGAGAGTTCCACTGTTGAACGGCTCTCACAGTCAGGAAGTTCTTCCTCATGTTCAGATGGAATCTCCTCTCTTGTAGTTTGAAGCCATTGTTCCGCGTCCTAGTCTCCAAGTAAGCAGAAAACAAGCTTACGCCCTCCTCCCTATGACTTCCTCTCACATATTTATACATGGCTATCAAATCTCCTCTCAGCCTTCTCTTCTTCAGGCTAAACTTTCTTCTGAAGTTTGACTCCTTCCAGGGAGACAACACTGGAAAAGCCATATACACCGAAAAGACTCAAATCCTGTCAGACTTCACCCCTCAGGTGAACTTTTTCCCGCTCAGAGCTGGGTCACTCTGCCGCCATGCTGCCCTCGCAAAGACAAAGGGAAAGAGAGGGAAGAGAGGTGGGTGCAGCTCAGGTTAATGGAGGGACACATAAGGTAAAAGGGGAGGGGGAGCTGTTTCCATGACGACCCATTCCAAAAACCTACCGGAAGAGTAGGCCGCGAACCAAACAGGAAAGGAACCACGTCAACTCGCTCTCTCTCTCTCTCTCTCTGCCGCCAAACTCCTTCCCCGGAGGCTTCAGGACTTGATTTAGACTTTCCCTGTCCTCTCGCTCACACACACACACTCCTTTCTTTCTTTCTTTCTTTCTTTTCCCCTCACCGGATTCGAAGAGGCGGGAATGTCAGGGGAACCGGAAGTAACTTCCCGGCGCTCTCGGTGATTTTTATCCCGCCCCCTTTCCTAACGTCACTTCCGGGCAAGGAAAAAGGTAGAACCGAGCCCCTGAGCAAGGGGCGGGGCCAACAGGATGCGAGGCACAACACGGAGGACGGAAGCGCATGCGCACTGGCGGAAGAGCGGTCGCGTGCGTTCTTTGTTTTTCCCTGCCGGCCACGTGCCTCAGACTGTGCGAGAGGTTGAGTGTCCCTGATCCAAAATGCTGGGGGGCCCAGGAACAGTGTGGATTGCGGCATCTTTGCTTGCGCCTACCTCCTGAGATAGCTTGGAGATCGGACCCAAGTCTAAACACGACATTCATTTATGTTTCATATGCATCTTATACACATGACCTGAAGGTAATTTTATACAGGATCTTTTGAATGATTTTTTTTTTTTTTTTGCATGGAACGGAGTCTTTATAATGGCTGGAATCACTGGGTTGCTGGGAGTTTTCCGGCCTAGATGGCCATCTTCCAGTAGCATTCTCTCCTGACGTTTCGCCTGCATCTGTGGCAAGTATCCCCAGAGGTCTGTTGGAAATGAGGCCAGTGGAGTGTATGTGTGTCTTTGGAGTGAAGTGTATGTATGTCTTTGTCCTAACCTAGACATCTGGTTTACTTACACACACACACACACACACACACATATATATATATATATATATATCTGGTTTACTTACATATATTTACTTACATATATATATATGTAAGTAAACTTTATTACGGCCAATTATCTATCTATCTTCTATATATATAAAAATGCTCTGTGCATAATGAGTACCTTAAAATCAAAAGAACCAATGAACGAAATCACACCAAATTTGGCAACAAAACGTCTCACAACGCAAGGAGTGACCATCACTCAAAAAATTATGATTTTGTCATTTGGGAGTTGTAGTTGCTGGGATTTATAGTTCGCCTACAATAAAAGAGCATTCTGAACTCCATCAACTATGGAATTGAACTAAACTCGGCACACAGAAATCCCATAACCAACAGAAAAAATTGGAAGGGTTTGGTGGGCACTGACCTTGAGTTTGGGAGTTGTAGTTCACCAACATCCAGAGAGCACAATGATGGATCTGGACCAAACTTGGCACAAGCACTCAATACACCCAAATATGAACACAGATGGAGTTTGGGGGAAATAGACCTTGACATTTGGGAGTTGTAATCACTGGGATTCACAGTTCACCTACAATCAAAGAGCATTCTGTACCCTACGAACGACAGAATCGGGGCAAACTTCCCACACAGAACCCCCATGACCAACAGAAAATCCAGTCCAACTCCCTTCACCAGGGCAAGAAAACGTAATCAAAGTCCTCCTGATAAAGAGCCATCCAGCCACAGATATAGATAGATAGACAGATAGATATGATTCACACACAGATATAGTATCCTAGATTTGAAAGGGACCCTTAAAGAAGGACAATTATATGTTGCATGTTCCAGGGTGGGCAAACCAGACACTCTCCACATCAACACTGGCAAAGAAACAGCAAGACATACTGTTTACCCACAAGCAGAAAGACATTACATATATTAGAAACCAACACTTTCTCATTACTTTATTTTCCAAATGAACAGACTGGGCCACAGCAACGCGTGGCAGGGGACAGCTAGTTATTATTATTAAACTATATTTGTACCCCACTAGCATCTCCTGAAGGACTTGATGCGGCTTACGTAGGCCAAGGCCTCAACACAACAACAGCAAAACAATAACAGTACAATTCAAAGCAAATAAAAACATAAGCAATAACAAAACATTACACTATTACGCAATAAAAACCAGGGCCGGGCCGGTACAAGTTACAAAAAGTCCAGGGTGTGGCAAATAGCATGTTGGATTTCTGGGCAAGTGCAATGTGCAGAGAGTCTTAAACTTTGATAAAGTGCTTCTGGGACATAGTACTGGAGATTATCCTATGTGCCCTCCCCAAAGACATTAGACTAGCACCCACGTTGGCAGTCTTTAGGAAGAATTTGAAGACCTGGCCAACGAACGTGGGTGCTAGTCTAATGTCTTTGGGGAGGGTGTTCCAGAGTCCGATGACCAGATGTACGGGGTATATATATGTAAGTAAACTTTATATATATATGTCCAGGGTAGGGCAAAGAACCCTTGTGTGTTTGGAACAACTGTAACAAATAGCCCGCTTGATTAGCAATTGAGTAGCTCTGCAGCTGCAAAACCTGGCTGTTGCTGCCTGGAGGCATCATAGAATCAAAGAGTTGGAAGAGACCTCATGGGCCATCCAGTCCAACCCCCTGCCAAGAAGCAATAATATTGCATTCAAAGCACCCTTGACAGATGGCCATCCAGCCTCTGTTTAAAAGCTTCCAAAGAAGGAGCCTCCACCACACTCCGGAGCAGAGAGTTCCACTGCTGAACGGCTCTCACAGTCAGGAAGTTCTTCCTCATGTTCAGATGGAATCTCCTTTCTTGTAGTTTGAAGCCATTGTCCCGCGTTCTACTCTCCAAGGAAGCAGAAAACAAGCTTGCTCCCTCCTCCCTGTGACTTCCTCTCACATATTTATACATGGCTATCATATCTCCTCTCAGCCTTCTTGTCTTCAGGCGAAACATGGCCAGCTCTTTAAGCGGCTCCTCATAGGGCTTGTTCTCCAGACCCTTGATCATTTTAGTCACCCTCCTTGGGACACATTTTAGCTTGTCAATATCTTCCTTTAATTGTGGTGCCCAGAATTGGACACAATATTCCAGGTGTGGTCTAACCAAGGCAGAATGGAGGGGCAGCGTGACTTCCCTGGATCTAGACACTATACTCCTATTGATGCAGGCCAAAATCCCATTGGCTTTTTTTGCCGCCACTTGGCATTGTTGGCTCATGTTTAACTTGTTGTCCACAAGGACTCCAATATCTTTTTCACATGTACTGCTCTCGAGCCACGCGTCCCCCATTCTGTATCTTTGCATTGCGTTTTTTCTGCCTAAGTAGAGTATTGGGAGATACTCCACTACAGACATCAGAAGAGGTGCAAAACCAAGAAAAAGCCACAACAATACAGACAAAGATCTACCCAGAGGAAAAGTATTCTTATTATACATCAAGGGAACCACTAACCACATAAGGAAGCTGGTGAAGAAACACAACCTACAAACTATTTACAGACCCACCAAGAAAATCCAACAAATGCTACATTCAGCAAAGGATAAGAGGGATCCTCTCAGCACTGCAGGAGATTACTGTATACCAGTTGTGGACATATCTACACAGGGATCATTAAATGCAGCAAGGTCCAAACACGAATCAAAGAACATGAAAGGCACTGAAGACTACTTCAACCAGAGAAGTCAGGCATAGCAAAGCACCTGATGAACCAACCTGGATACAGCATACTATTTGAGAACACAGAAATGCTGGACCACTCTAATAATCACCATGTCAGACTACACAGAGAAGCCATTGAAATCCATAAGCATGTGGACAATTTCAACAGAAAGGAGGAAACCATGAAAATGAACAAAATCTGGCTATCGGTATTAAAAAAAACTATAAAATCATAACTGTAACTAAAGACAGGGGAGCTCCAGACAACCAGGGACAGCTAATCACCTCTCAAAGGATGCCTCCAGGCAGCAACAGCCAGGCTTTCCAGCTGCAAGGCTACTCAATTTCTAACCAAGCTGGCTAATTGAAACATTCACACTTTCTTCAAACACACAAGGGTCCACTTTGGACAGTACACAGATATATATATACATCCTACTTTCCTCATTTCCAACAGACCTCTGAACAAACCTCTGAGGACGCCTGGCATAAATGCAGATGAAACTTCAAGAGAAAATTCTACTGGAACATGGCCATACAGCCCGAAAAACTCACAGCAACCCAGAGTCTGTATAGTTTGAACTGTCGGAAAGCAAAGGTGCTGCTTTCTCATGCCCCTTCTACACTGCCATATGAAATTCAGATTACTCGCTTTGAACTGGATTATATGACAGTGGAGAAGGGGCTCAGTCACCCTTCATGGTCCATTTTAGGAAAAAAATCTGTTTTAAGGAGTACTCAACCTGTACTAATTCATGGTTTGGTTATATGGACATGCTATCTTCCCTGAGAGTGTGCATCTGAGTTAATTTCTATTTAATTAAGGTCTAATTTCTGCTGCAAAAGTGATGTTGCTTCCATCATCCATACAAATTTTTGCCCTCAGGCTGGATTTACACTGCCATATAACCCAGTTTGAGGCAGATAATCTGGATTCAGAAACTGGATTACATGGCAGTGCAGATGGGGCCTCAGAAACCCTACTTAAGCATAAGCACTCAAGAAGCTTAGCCTAACTGGGTCACCTTGGACGCCCCATCTACACTGCCATATAGTCCAGTTTCTGAATCCAGATTATCTGCTTTGAACTGGATTATAAGGCGTCCTAGAAATACTCAGTGTCAGAGTTTAGCATGGACGAGGGTAGCATCACTTTGTGGCAGAAATTAGACCTTTTTTCTGACCATCCAGCAAACAGTGTCCATTTGACACAATAAAAATAGGATATACTCACAAAAATCAACATGTGAAAATTAGGGAGGCAGAAAACTGGCATTTTCTTATGTATGACTCAAAACCTGTACCATTTTGTATAGGATCGAGTGTGTTCTTGATTATCTCTAGTAATGCTTGCTCTTCCAGTTAATTTTTCAATTAGCATTATGTGCCGTCTAAAAAGGAACCAGGCATTTCTGGTTGAATTCAGTCTCTCCTATGGCTGGATCTACACTGCCCTATATCCCACGATCTGATCCAAGATTATTTACTTATCCCAGATTATCTGGCAGTGGAGACTCATATAATCAAAATCCTGGGATAAAGGGCAGTGTAAATCTGGCCTTAGAGCCCTTCCACACAGCCCTATATCTCATAATATAAAGGCAGAAAATCCCATATTATCTGAATGTGAACTCAGATAACCCAATTCAAAGCAAATATTGTGGGATTTTCTGCCTTGATATTCTGGATATAGTGCTGTGTGGAAGGGCCCTCTGCCAATTAGCATTCCTGGTCACCAGTTCTGCAAAGACATGGCTCATTATGCTGCCAAGATTAGATCTATACTGCATTGATTTTCTTTCCACAGTCCTTTTGTACTGTTTGGAATCCCTTGTTTCTATTTATAAAGGAGAGTTACGTTTCTGTGATTTCACTTCTTACTAGGAAGTCATGTACTATCTTGCACCAGTGGTGCAAAAGGAATTTGTCCCAATATAATAAGAGAAGTAATGAATTGGCACCTTCGACATAACTTGCCATTTCCAGGCCAAGATTCTTGGGACATTTCAATGGAAGGTCATGACTTTTATATCCGCCAATAAGAGAGAGGTTCAGTGG